CACCCACTTAGAACCCTTTATACACACCAAAACTGTAACCCTAGTTTGTCAACTGTCTGTTAAACCATTAGTTAAGTGAAAAATCCTAGAGCCATACTTCCAGAAAGTTCAACTTTAAAGGAAGGTCTGGAGAGTTTTGTTTCCACGGTCTCCTTTGCCACTCCACAGCAAGTGCTTGGAAGCTCATAATGTCCTTTGAAACAACAAGTCCTTTAAAAACTGGCACAACATTCTGCAGGTTAACTACATCTTTAAAAATTACAGTGACACTAGCTTTCAGATTGGGGTGTTCAGATAAGTGAAACCAATGAACAGTATACTTTATTAGTGGAAGAAAACTCTAAGATAAATAACCTAGCTTTTGCCAATAACTTAAAGCATCGAACTTCTCTTACTTCTGAGATAATGCTGGCTTTAAAGCCCAAATGCTAGATTATCCTTTATCCTTTGGGATGCCCCTAGAAACTTCAAAAACAATCTTAATTTCTTTCTTTCTTTCTTTTTTTTTTTTTTTGGTTTTTTGAGTCAGGGTTTCTCTGTAGCTTTGGAGTCTGTCCTGAAAGTTGCTCTGTAGACCAAGCTAGCCTAGAACTCACAGAGATCCACCTGCCTCTGCCTCTTGAGTGCTGGGATTAAAGGCATGTGTCACCAACACCCCACCTAAGAACAACCTTAATTTCTATGGAGACTGAACCAGAGTAAACTGGTGATTTGGGGAGAAAATGGTCTCCAACAAAGCTCCCTCCTTAACTACTGTAAAATTTTAAAATTTAAGATACGAAGATCAATAAGATGGCTCCCCAAGAAAAGGCACTATTTGCTGTCAAGCCTCACAACCTAAATTCAACCTTGGAACTGACATGGCAAAAGGAAAGTCTCCAGGAACTTGTACTCTAACCACACATGTGCTGAGGTATGCTCAAAACTACACACATATTCACATTAAATAAATGTTTAAACATTGCAAAACTTGAGCATAGTCTGGTGGGACACACCCAGCTTTTCTGGTAGAGGCAAGAGTACTGCAAATTCAAGACCAACTCAGGTAACTTGAGCCCCCATGGCAAAAAAAGCAAAATGAGGGATTGGAGATGACTCTGATTCTAAGTACTTAATGCTATTGCTAAAACCAGGAGTTCAGTTTCCAGCACCTACATGGTACCCCATAAACACCAGTTGCAGGGATTCTGAATTCTAGGGTATCTAGTGCCATAGATGTGTGCATGTGGTACAAATATATTCATGCAGGCTCACAACACATTACACAGAGAAACTATCTCAAAAAACAAATCAATAACAAAACAAAAAAATCTTAAATCCAAGAATCGTACATACCTTTAATCTTAACACTTACGAAATAGAGGGAGGTAGATCTGTTGAGTTCAAGGCCAGCCTGGTCTATAGCATCCCAGGATAGTCAGGGCCACAAAGAAACCCTGTCTTGATAAAAACAAAACAATGAAATGGGGGCTAATGATATAGTTGGTGTAATGTTTGCTTGCCTAGCATGCATGAAGCCCTTGGCTCAACTTCCTGCATTGCATAACTGTGAGATGCATGATGCTTGTAATTCCAGTACTTGGGAAGTAGAAGGATCAGAACCTCAAGGTCATCTGCAGCTTTACGAGTTTAAAGCCATTCAGGGCTACATGAGACCCTGTCTCAAAAAATGTGTTTGTAGTCCCAGCCCTCAGGATGAATTCAGCTTAGAAGATCAAGCTGTAACAAAGTTGAAACTACACATAAAAAAACAGAAGAAATCTAAGGTTTCTAAGTATTTCAATAAGTTCAAATTGGAAATTTCAAGAGTACATAAAGAGTACATGTAAGAAGATGGCCATGTACCTCTGGAAGCTGTAGTTCTGAAAGAACTCAATACATTTTTCAAGGTTCTTGCTGTTTCTCTCTATACATCACATTAAGAGGCCTAGCCTAGCCTGGGTATTTAGTGGCTTCTTGCTTTCTTTCCTATAAGTGATCAACCATTTGCTTTCAGTGCACAATGTAGGAAATTCTACAAATTACATACATAGGCTAAAAAAGTCAAACTATAAAAACTATCAAAGACAGTTATACTGCTGTACTGGTACCAAGGTGTGAGGTAAAGGGGATCAAATGCAGGGCCTTGTGCATCTTATACAAGCACCGTTATCTCTGAGCTAATCCCCCAGTCTACTCATATACCTATGAATATTTCCAAGATGAAAATCAACCCTCCCCACAGCTGGATCGTGGTGGTACACACCTTTAATCCCAGCACTGGGAGGCAGAGACAGATAAATCTCTATGAGTCGGAGCCAGCCTGGCCTATAGAATGAGTTCCAGGACAGGCTCTAAAGCTACAGAGAAATCCTGTCACGAAAAACAAGAAACAAAACAAAAGATCCCTAACCACTAGTTAAAATGTCTAACTTGGCCTCAGCTAAAAAGCAGTCACTGTGAAGGCGAAGCTGGGCAGTAACTACATTACAGTCTTTGAGGCCAAAGGTCTTAAAGGCTTGCAAACTTTTGAGCTTTGCTATTTATACTGACTAAGGTAAAATACAGCAACACTAAATTCATTCAGAAACTATCAGAGAGGGCTGGAGAGGCAGCTCAGAGGTTAAGAGCACCAGCCTGCTCTTCCAGAAAGGTCCTGAGTTCAATTCCCAGCAGCTACATGGTGGCTCACAGACATCTGTAATGGGATCTGGTGCCCTCTTCTGGCCTGCAGGCACAACACTGGATACATAAGTAAGGTTACAGTACCAAAAGACTTTTTTTTTTTTTTTTCTTTTTAAACTAGAGAGGATCTCATATATTCCAGACTTTGGATCCCCAAGCCCATACTTCAAAAGTGCTGGGATAACCTGTGAGCCACTGTGCTCAGTCCAGGCAGCCTTTTATGGACTTGGAAGAAGCCAGTTTTTATGTAAAGCATGCACAACTCAGGGGGACAGGAACCTGCACCAGGGTATATTCCACAACTCTAAAGGTCAAAGAGGTGGGGGTGAAGAGGAAGAGAAAGCACATTCATAATTCAGAAGAGAAGAAAGCCCTATTAATGACTCACCTTCAGTAAGTGTTAAGGAGTTCCATACTGAGACAATCTAGTTTCTCCTTAACTGCAGACAAGGGGCAGTCTAGTCACTTTGACTATAATTAAATAATTCTCCTGACAATCTAAAGCGCAAAAGAATTGGTTGAGTCAAAGAGATGGCATAGAAAGTGGGACTGGAGAGTCAGGCATTGGTGGCACACGCCTTTAATCCCAGTACTCCGGAGACAGAGGCAGGCGGATCTCTGTGAGTTCGAGACCAGCCTGGTCTACAAGAGCTAGTTCCAGGAAACCACAAAAAAGAAAGGAAGAAAGAGAGAAAAAGAAAGAGAAAGAAGAAATGCTGCTACTACTAGGTCAGTACCTTGTCACATTTCCCTTTTATCCACAAACCTTCATGTTCCCTCACCACCATCATAGCCCTGCTAAATCTTTGTTGTACACAAAGTAGAATGATTCCTTTGACCACTAGCCAGTTAAAGAGAATGCAAAAATCTGAAACAGTTTGGTTTTACCAAGAGATTGCTGAATATAACTTGACAATTGTCATCTGTCTAAACTATTATTAATGACCCAAAACTTTGACATGACTCTAATCAAGGTTGTTGCAAACTAGCCTTTGGACAACAGGGAAATTTCCTGAGTAACATCTGTTTTCTTATAGTGGGATGGGACTCATGAACAAGTGGACCAAATGTGACTCATACTCAAACCATGTTCAATGATCTTAATATTATCTGTGACCATACAAACTCCTCATTTGGCACTTGCACAACAAAAGGTATACACTAAGGTATTAAGCTATCAGCTCCCTGGGATGACAGGCAAATAAGAATGGGCTTTCAAGAGCTGTGCAACTGAACCCAAAGTAAGTAGCAGTGTTAGTGGTATGGTTTAAAAAAACAGTAAAGTTCAGCAGGGATGTAGTCAATGGCAGAATAGCTGACCAGTATGTGCAAAGGCCCAGGGCCCTCTGAAACAGACATAAATACAGCACCCAAAACTTAATTTCTATTTGCCTACAATAGTAATTGATATATGGTGATTTCTGGTTAGAGTTCAATCTTAAAAATCTCTCACATCCAATTACAATCATTACCTGCAAGGGCAAGGGGATATAACATTCCTGAAATGCTTGTAAGCTACCAGCTGCTAAGACTTTTTTCACTGACAGGTTGAGATGGTGGAACAGAGACACTGATAGATGAGACAGGGGAACAAGTTTAAAACAAAAAGCAGTGGACATTTATTCCTCTTTTTTTTTTTTTTTGTGCAAGAGTGTAAAGATGCATTTCAAAGAACCCAATGTCTAGAGAGCATCAGCCATGGCCTTCAGGTTGGCCTGGCTTACAGTTAAGTTAGGAAAAGGGATGAGGGGAAGTAACTTGCCTAGTTCACATGAATGTTTCTGGGTAACAGTTGTTTACAAATTCCAAACTACATATTACTATAGTCAAGGGAAGACTTCAAAAAGCCACATACAGTACAATTTAAAACCAATGAACATCCTGCAAATGTTAGTGCAAAGTAATTACGTAGACTCTCCAAGATTGTGCTCATGTTTTCCAGGTTTGGTCAGTTATTCCTTTATAATTACAATCACAGAGGCTTAACTTATCAAACAGCAACACCTTTGTGTTCTATGTCTTATGTACCAATATAACATCACAAGGTTTTGGTGAAATGCTGCTCAATTTCATTAACAAAGCAAATTTATTTAGTTTAACAGTCATGTTCCTGGAATGGTGCACATATAAGTTTCATGAAAATGCCTTTAAGCTTATGCCTCTATCATGTTTAATAAAATTACTCTCATTTTTTTTTTTACTATGTAAACTGGAATTGTTTCATGATTTTGAAATGCAACAAATATAAATGAAAACATTTCAGGGGTGAGGAAAAAAATCCACCACTAATCTTAGCTAGACCAAGTTTTTAAATCAAAAAGCCTATTCACACAAAATTATATGTAATGACTGTAGTAATCAGTTTATTACACAGATTAATCATTCTTGAACGTACAAGCTCCAGAGGAGCAACTGGGTCTTTAAATATACACAAGTATTTCCATCAAATGAATTTTCACCCTTACATTGAAATAGGCCTAAAGCAGTTAGAAACATAAGAAAAATAAGAGCTATTAGCTATGTATTAACTGAGAAACCACATACAAACCAAAGATTATGGAAAGGGGCTAAAAGGAAGAAGGCTGAAAGGGCAGGGAGATGTGAAAGTGTTGGGAACAAAGCCCACCACACTTTATGTACTAACAGCTCCAGTCCATTTAAATGTTGTTCAGTTAAACTTAGACCTTAAAATACAGAATGTAGGTAGAGTTTAATCTGTTTGGTCATAGCTCTTTCACCTAAGTTGTAGGTTCTTCAGGGTGAAATGAATACAGAAACAACTTCATGTTCTTCACCTTGCTTTTTATGACTGTTTCAGATTAGATGGATTCCACTTAAGAACAATCTCCTATGGGTCACTGGAGCTTTTTTCCTCCCATCCAAGCACACACTGTGTACCCACTACCTCTCACATCTTGCCATTATCCAATTTTAAGTCAATAAAGAAAGCTTTTAGTCTCACACCTAGGTTATGCCCGGAGAACTGGCTTCTCACACACACACACCTCTCTGCTAGGAGGCAATGTTGGTACAGAAGTACAGTATTTCTGGTTTGTTGTTCCAAGTATGTACAACACGCAGCACTGCTGTGTCAGGTAAACATGTGCACAGGGGAAGATGAGGCGTGGGCTCATAGAAAGCAGTCAAATGGAAATCAAAAGGACTTTCTCTTTCAGAGTTCCCTAGCTTTATTTGTAGAGGTTATCCAATAATTTCTTTAATTACATCGCATACTTCTGAGTCCATTCTCGAGCTATTCTGTTGTACCTGTACACACACAAAGAGAACTTGGCTTAAGATAGGTAAGGAGTCAACAAGCAACATATTTTCATTCATTAACCCAACTAGTAATTTCAGAGCAATAACTGAAAACACTCAAGCAAAATCACCGTTCTCCAATTTCTTTCACACATTACCACCATCCCCCGTCCCTCTTTTGAGTTAGGGTCTCACTTCAGAGCCATGACTGGCCTTGAACTATCTAAAACTAGGATGGATGGCCTCAAACTTGAGGCAATTCTCCTGGATGTTGCTATTACAGGGATGTACCACAACCTAGCTTTACCTCCAATTACAAATAAGCCTATATTCATGATACAACAAGACCCTGTTATAAAAGCCAAAACAACTTCCTATAAATGTAGCATCTAGAGTACTCAGATTCAAATTTAACATTTGCTGATATGTACCTCATCCCTTATTTTTTTACTCCAAGATAGGGTTTCTCTGTACAACAGCCCTGGCTGTTATACCAAGCTGGAGAAATAGAGACCCGACTGCCTCTGCTTCTGAGTGCTGGATTAAAGTTGTGTCCATGGTGCCTGGCTTCCATCCTATGTTCTTTCTTGACTGACCTTCAACCCATCGTAGCCAAAGGTATCCTTAAACTTGCAGTTTGGGACTATATAATTCTATATTACATGGTTCTTAAAATCATTTAACAGTGATTTAAATGGCATAATGAGCTAAGAGAGGGGAGACTGAGGCAGTAGGTTCCAAAAATTATCTCAAAACACTTAAAAAAGAGAGAGAGAGAGAGAGAGAAGGAAGAGTGAGACCAGCCTGTACTACATAGAGACTTATCTCACAAAAATACAATAAGGGATAACGACAGCTCAGCAGTTAAGAGACTTGCTGCTCTTAAGGAGGACCTCATTCAGTTTCTAGTGCCTGCATAGCAGGTCACAACTATCTTGAACTCCAGTTCTGGAGATCCAACTCCTTCTTATGGATTCTGTGGGTACCAGGCACCCATGTGGTAGGTAGGTGCACACACACACACACACACACACACACACACACACACACACTATTCACATATATGCAAGCAAAGCTTGCACCTGTTCATCACAGAAAATAAATGCAAACAATGGGGCGGGTATGGTAGTGCACTTTTTTAGTTCCAGCACTTGAAGGGCAGGGGCCAAGTGGGTATCTGTGAATTGAAGAACTTGGTCTACACATACCAAGCTGCAGACCAGTCAAAAAGATACATGGTGAAACCCTGTCTCCAATTAAAAATAAATAAAACCCTACGAAGAAAAAATGACATACCTTCCTTTGAGTTCAAGTTTACCCACAGTTACAAAGTAAATCACGAGGCCAGCTTCAGCTACATTAGACTCTCTCAAAACAAAAACCAAACCAAAAAGAAAAAGAGGGGACAAACAAAGAAATAGAAATGCATCATTAGGCATGGCAGCTCATGCCTGAAAATCTGGTACTTGGGAGGCTATGGCAATAAGGCAGTGGATTTGTTTCTTTTTTTTTTTTTCCTCCGAGACAGGTTTTCTCTGTGTAGTACTAGCTGTCCTGGAGACAGCTCTTTAGACCAGACTGACCTTGAACTCAGAAATCCACCTTCCTCTCTCTGCCTCCTGAGTGCTGGGATTAAAGGCATGTACCACTACCACCCGATGACAGTGAATTTGAAGGCAGCAAAAGCTACATAGAAGATTGTTTCAAAATGTGTACATGTGTGCATATACTTCTTTGATGGGCCATTCCTTATACTGCCAGCTACCAAGGAGACTAAGGCAGAAAGATCATTTTATTACAGAAGTTTAAGGCTAGCTTTGACAGCACAGTGAGATTCTGTCTCAACAACCAAATTTTATCTTTAAAAAGTATAGTTCTGCTGAGTATCAGTACCCTGGTGACTAAGAATATCTTTCTGATAAGCATTTATATCTACAATTTATACAAAATGGTTCTCTAATTAAAACAATTCAGTTATGTATACTACACAAGATAAATAATGCACATCAGGTTTGGGGACACATCTTTAATCACAATACTTGGGAGGCAGAGGCAGGTAGATTTGTGTGAGTTCCAAGCCAGTAGGTGAAATTCTGCCCCCAAACAAACAGTTAAATTAAGTTACGGGGTCTGGAAAGATGGCTCAGCAGTTAAGAGCAATAGCTTCTCTTTTAAAGGGCCCTGGGTCAGTTCCAGCACCCACACAGAACTTCACACCCATCTAATTGTAGGGAATTTAATGCCCTCTTCTGGCTTTTGCAAGCAACACACACACACACACAAAATTCAGTCAGAAACACATGATTATAGATGGTAATCAGACAGAAAACAAAACAAAAAAAAAAACTAAGAATTAGTGCCAGAATCCCCATTCTTGGTATAGTTCTATTAAACACTAGTAATACCACCACCACCACCAAAACCCAGTCATCTATGATTTTTCTGTTGTTTTTGATATTGGGACTTTACTTTGTAGTCAGGCTGGCCTCAAATTTAGAATCCCCCCGCTCCAATACTTTTTCTAAAATAAAAGAGTTTAAGTTATCATTTAATAATTTTCATTTTCTAATTAATCAATTAATAAGAGGGAGTCTTACTATGCCTGGACCTTACAGAGACCCACCTATTTTTGCTTCAAAGAACTGGGATCAAAGTGGTGGGCTACCACACCCAGTCAGTCCTTTATGGATTGTTGTTTTCTCACACAGGGCCTTTGTGTAGCCCTGGCTGTCATGGAACTCACTATGTAGAACAAGCTGGTCTCAAACTCACAGACTGCTGGTATCAAGGGTATGTATCACCACCATCCAGTGGCAGACAGATCTCTTGAGTTCAAGGTCAACCTCGTCTACAGAGTTCCAGGAAAGCCAAGGCCACACAGAGAAACACTGTCTCCAACAGACCCCTCCCCACCAAAAAGAACAAACAAAAAATTCTGACTTTATATAATTCCTATCATAATCTCACTGGTTAATACATAAAAGCAAAAATGATTAGAACTCTAAGTTACTGTCACATTTGATATCCTCACCATTCTTCAATAATTCATAGTACACAATTCTAAAATACCCATTTCTAACACAAAACTTGTTTTCTTTTTTGGAACTATACATTCTTTCCCCCACTCCTCCTTCCCCCCCCCCTCTCATTCTCCCTCATGCCCCCCATGTTCCCAATTTACTTGAGATCTTATCTTTTCAAATTTTGTTTAAAAAACAAATTTGGCAATTTTATGTCAAACAGCAGAAAATGCAATCACCTTTCCTACCAATTTACCAAAGTACACATAAGACAAATGGGAACTTGGTCCACAATGATACAAGAGTACAAAGAGAAAGATATAAAGGTTTGTTTTTTTTTTTTTCAAAGTACTGTAGGAAAGATTTTCAGTAAAGTTACATTAAATGATTAGATATAAGATTAATATCATCTATTTATAATGATTAATATAAAAAAAAAAATTTCATAGCCGGGTGGTGATGACAGCACAGGCCTTTAATCCCAGCACTCAAAAGAGGCAGAGCAGATGGATCTCTGTGAGTTCTGAAGCCAGTCTGGTCTACAGAGTGAGTCTCAGGACAGCCAGGACTGTTACAATAGAGAAACCATGTCCCAAAACCACATCTCTAAATAAAAATATAAAATCCTTTCCTGTCCTCCTTGGGAGAGTTTATCTTAAGCATTTGGTCTATATTTTAACTCTATAAGGAAGTTTTGAAATAGCTCCATCCCATACCTGACAGCTTTCCATCTGAAGGTGATACTTACTTTTCTCTATCTGTTTTGTAGATCCGAGCAATCTCAGGCACTAAAGGATCATCTGGATTGGGATCACACAACAGAGAACAGATGGACAAAAGTACTAGGATTTAAAAAAAAAAAAAAAGTGTAAGTTAGTAAAGACCAAAGTGTGCAGGGACAGGTGAAGAGATGGATCTCTTTGAATTCAGGGTCATCCAAGGCTGCACAGGAAGACCCTGTTTCCAAGGGAAAGACAAACCCAAGTCACCCCCCCCCCACACACACACACAGACACAAAAACCCAATCTGAGATGTTAATTTATACTAAGACTAGAACTGAGAATGCAGGTTGGTTTAATGGTGGAGAGCTTGCATAATGTGCATGAGGTTCTGTTCTGAGCTCAGTTTTTAGCAGAACAAAAGTGGATCTTCTAAATCTTAGATCAAGAACACTTATCAGTGCCAGAGAGAATTTCAAGTTTTAGAAGCTCAAGTTCAGATAATATCAGCTGTCAAATGTCCAACAACAGACAAAATTAGTTGTCTGACATCACTTCATTACAAGGAAACTTCAAGGACTGTCCAGGACATAGGAAGGAAATTGTCTCAACAAAATAAATCCTAACCAGGTACCAGTAGCTCACACTTGTAATCCCAGCATTACAGAAACTAAAGCAGGCACATTGCCACAGTAGAGATTAGCCTACACTACAGAGTGAGACCGTCTTAACAGAAAGGCCAGGCGTTGGTGGTGCATGCCTTTAATCCCAGCACTCTGGGAGGGAGGCAGAGGCCTCTATGAGTTCGAGGAGGCCAGCATGGTCTACAGAGCTGTTCCAGGACAGGCTCCAAAGCAATACGGAGAAATCCTGTCTTGAAATGACTTCCCCTACCCCAAATAAACCAGTGAAATGGCTCAGCAGGTACCCATCTACTGAATAGCTTGGCACCAAAGGTGGAAAGAGACAGCTGACTGTATGACCTGTCCTCTGATTTTCATCCAATATACACTAACAATAATAGTAAGTGTAAGGAGTATGGTTTTTCCGCCTGCCGCCGGTCTTGTACCGCCACTGCGCCAGCCCCAATTAATACACAGAGACTCTGTATTTGATATAATTCTGTTGGCCAGGTACTAGTTTCTTATCGGCTAGCTCTGTCTTAAGTATTAACCCATTTCTATGTATTTCCATGTGGTCTTCTTACTGGGGAAAGGGGCCAGAGTCTCGTCTCCCCAGTCTCTCCATCTTGACCCCTCACTACTTTCTCTTTCCTCCTTGTCCCCTAGTCCCTCCTATCTTCCCTTCCTATTGGCCAACAGTGCTTTATTCATTAACCAGTATGAGAAACATATATACAGAATGACATCTCCCATCAAGTAAGCAAATAAATACATGAAGTCCAACAATCACATCATTCACCTTCTCAGTGGTAGCTTGTTTATTTACACTTCTAAGGCAAGACTTCACTCTATCAAGCTAGTTTCAAATCTGCTATGCAAAGAACAATAATCTTGAACTTACTACTGATCATTCTGCTTCCACTTCCCAAGTACTAGGATTACAGTGAATATACCAATATAACAAGTGTCTACCTGTTCTTGAATATCACAATCAACAACCTGGCATCAGCAGTTAAGACCACTGATTGCTTTCCCAGCACCCACAGGGCAGCTGTTTGTAACTGCAAGAACTGACACCCTCACACAGACATACATGAAGGTAAATAAAATAAATTATTAAAAAAAAAGTTATTAAAAAAAAAAGCTATGTATGCAGTTAAGACTACTGGCTGCTCAGAGGACCCAGGTTCAATCCCCAGTACCAACATAGAGGGTCACAACTGTCTATAATTCCAGTAACAGGTGATCTAAAACCCTCTTCTGTTATCTGGGGAAACCAGGCACATACATGGTATAAATACATACATTAAGGCAAAATGTTCACACATAAAATAATTTGTAAAACAGATAATCTTAAAAAAGATAAATCAAACAATAAAATCAGTTATTTCACCTTGATACCAAACAACTACTCCATTACCTTTTGAAATAGTTAGTGCTGGAGACCACTGTGACCGTAGAATATCAAGACAAATGCTGCCATTACTGTTAATATTTGGATGATAAATTCTTGTTGTAAATGCAACCTGAAGAAAAAGAAATCTTTGTGATTGATTTACTAGTATCATACAGAGCATATTAAAAGCAATGATCTTATTCCAATTACCTTAGGTGGTTTGAAGGGGTAATCTGTTGGGAAATGAATTGTCAAGAAAAACACTCCACCCTGATAGGGGCTGTCATTCTGTTGATGATAAGAAAGTGAGATTTAAAACAAATAAATCACATAAAGTAATTATTAAGGAATTAAAGTGAGTACTTACTGGTCCCATTATTGTAGCCTGCCAATGAAACACTGAAAAAGAACAAGAAAAAGAAAATTATGTTAATGATATTCACATCACACCTATACTGTAGAAACCTATCATTCCTTGCCTAATCAAAGTTTATTTATGCCAGGCAGTGGTGCACACCTTTAATCCCAGCACAGGGAGGCAAAGGTAGATGGATCTCTGAAGTCTAGGTCGGCCTGATCTACATAGGGAGATCCAGGACAGCCAGGTATTTAACTTCAAAAGGTAATGGAGTAGTTGTTTGGAGCATGTGAAATAACTGATTTTATTGTTTGTTGGTTTATCTTTTTTAACATTATCTGTTTTTCAAGTTATTTTTATGTGAATATTTTGCCTTAATGTTCCACAGAAACTCAGTCTCAAAAAAACAAAACAAAAAAATAAAACATCAAAATTCATTTATAAACAGTATGATAACGACTTTTTTCCCCCCCTGAGACAGGGTTTCTTTGTGTTAACAACTTTGGCTGTCCTGGAACTCACTTTGTAGATTAGGCTGGCCTCAAACTCATCTCTGCCTACTTCTGCCTCCTGAGTGCTAAATTAAAGGCATGTACCACCATCCCCTTGCAATAATTAGTATTTCCTATGGCCAGGATGAAGATTCCAAACCACCAAAAAATATGAATGAGGGAGGGAGGTATGGAGGGAGAGAAGGAAGTTTTTAATACCAACACTCCAGACAGAGAGGCAGGCAGATCTGACTTGTATGACAGCCTGACTCCAAAAACCAAACAAACACACCAAAAACAAAACAAAATAAAACATGGACTTAAAAACTTAAAAACAGGTGGAAAGGGGCTGGAGAGATGGCTCAGAGGTTAAGAGCACTCACTGGCTGCTTTTCCAGAGGTTCTGAGTTCAATTCCCAGCAACCACATGGTGGCTCACAACTACCTACAATGAGATCTGATGACCTCTTCCGGCACGTAGTGCAGAATACATGCAGACAGAACACTGTATACATAATAAATACATTTTTTAAAAATAGATGGAGAGGCTAGAGAGATGGCTCAGTGGTTAATCGTGCACACTACTCTACTCTTGTAGACCAGAGTTACAGCTCTTAGAACCTGAATCAAGTAAGTGGCTCATAACAAACTGTAACTCCAGCTCCAGAGGATCTATCTGATGCTTTCTTCTGGTCTGAACATTTACACTCCTGTGCACATACCCACCTATCTCACACACATCACCATGATCAAAGACACAGTAAAACCATCAACAAAAGAACCCACACAATTTTCTAGGGGGCCAGGAAGATGGCTCAACCGGAAAATTTCTGCTATTAAACCTGACATTAGCTTGACTCCCAGGACTCACACATGAGAAAACCATCTCCTAAGCTGCTATCTGGCCTCCACGAGTTTTCACAGCATGAGCACACACACTAAGCATAGAGTATACCTACAACAATGCTGGCAAAGCTGAAATACGATGCTAAATCCAAGTTTATCTTTGGTTAAGTCAGAGGCCAACCTGGTCTACATAGTAAGTTCCAGGTAAGCTACAGCTGCATGGTGATTCTATCACAAAATACAACCAACTAAATTACCAACAAACAAAACCTGTTCCAAAGTCATGCCTGGGTGATAAATTTGTTGACAAAGTCCAAATAAAGGAAAACCAGTACACCAATTAAATATTAAGGACAGGTTATTACTGAAGTTTTATCCTTTGAATGTTATCTCCCTAGTAATTAAATTCTTCATACTTTTGAACAACCAATTATTGAATGACAATAAAAGCAGTTGAGAAAATCATTATGAGCCACTACATCTGTCCTACTATCTTTAACTAAGTCCCATAAAAGAACCATAAAGTCCTGGTTTAATCCCAGCATGTTGGGAAGCAGAGGTAGGTGAATCTCTGTGATTTTGAGTCTGGTCTACAAAGCTACACAGAAAAACCCTGGCTTAAGCCCCCCACCCCCCAAAAAAGTTGCTAGGTGGTGGTGCATGCCTTTAATCCCAGCATTCAGGAGGCAGAGGCCAAGCAGATCTCTGTGAGTTTGAGCCCAGCCAGGTCTACAAAGCGAGTTCCAGAACAGCCTCCAAAGCTACAGAGAAACCCTGTCTTAAGACTGTCTGCTGGACATGTTAATATATGCATTATGCCTTTGACCTGAGCACTGGAGAGACAGAGGCAGAGAGATCTCTGTGAGTTGGAGATCAACCTGATCTAAACTAATTCTAGATCAGGGATACACACTTTAGACCCTGACTCAATATTTTAAAAAAGTTAAACAGGCTGGAGAGATGGTTCAGCAGTTAAGATTGCTCTTCCAGAGAACTAGGGTTCAATTCCTGGCACCCACATGTCAGTTTGCAACTATCTATAATTCCAAGATCTGACACCCTCATATAGACATATGCAAGCAAAACATCAATGCATAAAACATAAGAATAAATTATTTAAAAATCTGGGAGTCTGGAGAGGTGGCTTAGTGGTTAAGAGCACTGACTGCTTTTCCAGAGGACACAGGTTCAATTCCCAGTACCCATTTGGTAGCTCACAACTATTTGTAACTTCAGGATCCAGCACCCTACACAGACATACCTATAGGCAAAACACCAATAAAATTAAAAATATTTTTAAAGCATTTAAAATTGTAAACAAAAAAACCCTAATATCAATAAAGCTAAAACCAGTACTAAGTAGTAAAGATCAAATGGACAACTCAATCAGTTTTAAGTAATATCCTTCTATTTAATCCTCTTATGTAATTTAAATCTGTGTCTATTGTACTCCATGTCAGGTTCCAAGAATCAAATAATAAAGCATTTAAATAATAATTTCAAAACACTGAGATTTTTAAGCATAAAAATTTCCAGCAGCTAAGTATTCTTTGTTCTTAGCCTTCTGAGAGCAATCCTTTATTCTTGTTAAAAAATTTATTCTTGCTAAAAGATTCAAGAAATTAAGAGGCTGAGGCATAAAGAGTACTCAAGAGTTCAGCCCCAAACTGGTCTATCAAGAGTGAAAAAAGTCTCCAAAGACAAAAACAGGGCCAAGAAGATGGTTCAGCAAGTGACAACACCCATTACCATGCTTGGTGATCTGGTTTGATCCCCAGGACAACAAGGCAGAAGGAGAAAAGAACCAATCCCTACAAGTTGTCCTTTTACCTTCAAATATGTTCAAACAAACAACCATAACTACTGCCTATACAATATAAATGAACAAAATATCAGAACTGAGAAAAAATAAATCAGGACAAGTTTCTGGCTGAAACTTGTGGTTCCTGTTATGTTCTAGGATAAAAAGTCTATGAACAAATAGATGACACAGAACAGAAATGGCAACAGGTTAGCAACTAGAACATTGGTTAAGTATGGAAAGAATACACCTTCTAATAGAAAATAGGAAAATATCAACATTCTCAAATAGTACTGCTGCAAAAAGATACCATGACTATGGCAACTCTTATAAAGAAAAACTTTAATTGGTTTGATTAGTCCATTACTGTCATAAGGGGAAGCATGGTGGCTCATAAGCAGACATGGTGCTGGAGAAGTAGCTGAAGATTTCTGTATCTAGACCTGTGTTAGCATCTCAACAGCCATCTTTCCCACTACTCTCTTAGATACTAACATACTGGTAATTTTCCATTCCCTTATGACTGTTTTCCTGTTAAGCATATGATGCAGCCTGACCCTTAAAGAGTCCCAGCTGCAGGCTTACCATATATATACCAACTTATCTTATAGCAGAACAGCTGCATTCTGCTTGGAAGGACATTCTGCCCCCCTCACATCCTTCCTTTGGCCCATTCTCTATTTCTCCACTACTTAAACCCTGTGGTTATATTCAATATATGAGACTTGATCAGAACACTGTCTTGTCTCCATCTCTCAAGTCTCTTGTCCCCTCATTCTCACTCCCTCCCCCTCAGGACCCCCAGGGCCAGGGCACAGATCTTTAGGCAGCACAAAGCGAGAGTGACACTGGGCCTGGCTCGAGTATGTGAAACCCCTATGACATACTTTCTCCAACAAGGCCACACCCCCTATAATACTATTTATTCCCTGTTATTCAAATCAAACACCAACATCTTTTATATTCATACTCCAGGGAAGACACTGTAGTGTATCTAGGAGAGATTATACTTTTGAGAACTTTAACAATTTTATTATTACTGAATTTATATAAAGAATGGGTACAGTGTACACGTGCCACAGTGTATGGAGTAGTGGAGGTCAGAGACGACTTTCTAGTTAGTTCACTCCTTCCACCTCGGGTTGGAAGATCAAACTCAGTACTTTCTTTTACCCACTAAGCAGCTCACTGACCCTGCTCCCGAGAACCTTTACCAGCAATACCAGTAAGAACACCTATTGGAATCACTAACAGGTTTCCCTCTGGAGCAGTATTAATACTCCTGGTTCTCTTTAGGTGGAAATATGAATGTAGACAGCTATACAGTATCTTAGCCAGGTTTCAAATGGCAAGGGGCTTTGTGAATAGTTTGAGAAATTACTAGGGTTTCAATTAGAATTCCAGAAATAATTATTGGTCAACCCAACCCATAAGCATAAACTATCACTGTATTTTACAAAACCATGTTGGTTAAGGATCTCTGGGGAGTTTTCTGAAATGAGGTTTATGATATGAAAATAAAAGATGGGTTTCCCCAGATGTGTGGTACATGTCACCATATTCAGTGCATATTATCTCTTTCTCAATGTTATCATCTGTAGCACATTAAAATGGTTTTTGTTTTTTGGATTTTTCAAGACAGGGTTCCTATATGTAGCCCTGGCTGTCCTCAAACTCAGGAGATTTTCCTGCCTCAAGAGTGCTGGGATTAAAGGCATGAGCCAATATTGCCAGGATGTTTTCTTGGTCTTTTTGTTTGTTTGTTTTTAATTTAAGTCTAAGTAACCCACTTTTAAAAATGGTTTGCCCTTTGAGAGTACTAAACATTGCAGGACAGCAATTTTTGCTGTAAGAAAAATGTAATAATGCAAACTACAATAGCAGCAAAACAAAAATCAGTTGTTTTGGCATGCTTAAAAACTTACTAGGTCTGATGACATGCATGCACCTTTAATCTTAGCACTCAGGGGTTAATCAAACATCTCTGTGAACTCAAGGCAAGCTGGTCTACACAATGTTCCAGACTAGCTAGCCAGAAAAACACAATGAGAGAAAAAGAGTGGGAGGGAGGGAGGGAGGGAGGGGGAGGGGGAGGGGGAGGGGGGGGGAGAGAGAGAGAGAGAGAGAGAGAGAGAGAGAGAGAGAGAGAGAGAGAGAGCCTCCCCCACCCCAGAACACATTCCAAATAATCTGGTTTAAAGACTCAAACCCGAGTCAGCTGAGGTAGGCAGGTCTGTTGAGTTCAAGGCCAGCCTGGTCTACAGAGAGAGTTCCAGAACAGCAGAGAGCTCAAAAAACAAATACTCACACCTGAATCCTAGCATTGGGGGCAGTTGGGAATAGAAGACTGAATAGACTATGTGAGTCTACTTTTTAGTTTTTAATATTAAATTTAGTATTACTATATTGAACTAGTATTAAAATGTTAGTAGGGCCAGTGAGCAGGTAAAGACATTTGAAGCTTGAAAACCTAAGTTAAATCCCTGGGTAGAAGGAAAGACCCACCCCCATCCCCACAACACACAAGAAACAAATTTTAACTTAGTCTAGCTAGGTATGTTCTTAGTAATATGAGTGATTGCCTAGCATACATGAAGGCCCTGGGTTCAACCCCCAGTACTATAAACAACTTAATAATTACACCTGCTTTCATAGATATGAGCCAGTAAAATACAGCATACAGCATGTCATTCTTAAAGAGCAAATTAGCCAGGTGTACACAACAGCTTTTGCCTCAGTAAAATATCCAAAATAAAGAATAGAAAGAGACCAGAGCAACTACAAAGACAACACAGTCAGAGAAGCTCAAAATATACTAAGATGCTTGAGTGCTCTTAAAACAGGTTCAGTCCAGGCACGGTGGCATACACTTTAGTCACAGCACTCAGGAGGCAGAGGCAAGGCAGATCTCTGAGTTTGAGGCTAGGCTGGCCTACAGAGCCAATGCCAGGAGAGGCTCCAAAGCTACACAGAGAAATTCTGCCTCGAAAACAACAACACACACACACACACCCCAAAAACATAAAAACAAACAAACAAACAAAAAAAAAAAAAAAAAAAAAAACACAAAACACATTCTGTTATGGGAAACTAAGAGTTAAGACTCCCCTTTCCTTTTAGCAAATGACCTCTTAAAGCAGAATAACCCTAAGGGGGCTCAGCTTAAGTGTCTGCAGCCAATCTTGACTACCAGTGTTCAATCCTGGAACCCTGGAACTCACATAGTGGAAGAAAAGAACAGACTGAAAATTATTGTGATGCTTAAACTGAAATACCCCCCCCCCACACCCACAACAAAAAGAAACAAATGACCTTAAGAAATAAAAGATCTGCAGAGAAAGTACATTTATGCTGCTTTGCTCTAACTCCACTCAGATACTTACTATCATCTCCAACAGGACCTGCCGAACACTGTGCCGGAGGATCTCGGGCCAGGTCATTCAATTCCTTAAGGAAAAACACAAAAGAGAAGAAATTTAACTTTACATAGTTCCTAAACTTACCTTGCTAAACAAGTTAAAAAGTTAAAAGCCTGAAGGTGTTTTTATTGCTTTATTTTATTTATTGTGTTGTGAAACAGAAGATAACTTTGAGGACTCAGTTGTCTATGTTGCTCAGATGGTATTGCTCCAACAGTTCTCTCTTATCAGCATTTTCATTGCTGGACCAGAGGGAAGGTAGACCACCAGATCTCCAAAACTGTTCATTAATTAATTAGGTCAGGCTAAATTCATGGCAATCCTCCTGCTTCAATCTCTGAATGCTACCACCATAACCTATATTAAAAAGTCATTATTTTCCTTTCATCTTTTCTCATTCTGTTGCTCAGATTTCAAATCTGTGATCTACATGTCTTAGAATAGAGTTCTGGAACTACAAGTGCACACCGCCATGCCCAGCTCCCTCCTCCCTTTGAAATAGCCAAGGTTGGTCTATACCACCAAGCCTGGCTCTAAATTATTTGAGGGGAGAGGATGGGGAGGACTCAATGCAAATCTTGTTTTGTTCCATTTTTTTGAGACAGGGTCTCACTTTGTGGCCTTATGTTGCCTGGAACTCAGAGAGCCACCTACCTCTGTCTCTTCTCTTGCTAGGACTTTGTTTTTGTTTTTTGAGACAGGGTTTCTTCTGTGGCTTTGAAGGCTGTCCTGGAACTAGCTCTTGTAGACCAGGATGACCTCAAACTCACAGAGATCCGCCTGCCTCTGCCTCCCGAGTGCTGGGATTAAAGGTGTGCGCCAATTAAATCTGTGTGCCACCATGCCCAGTTCAATGCCAATTTTTAGCACATAAAACAAGCTTTTAAAAATAAAAAAGGGTTCTGAAACTACACTATATCATCTGACAAAACTGATATTTTCAGCTGATGTCTTATTACCAGTGTAACAAACAGAAAAACTTTTAAAAGGATCTGGCAGGTATATAATCTCAGCTACTGGATCTAAGAGCAACATCAAGGCTGCCCAAATTATGGGGAAATTTAAGGCTAGTCTGGGCAACTTAGTAAAAGTTAAAAAAAAAAAAAAACACTAAGAGCTGGGGATACAGCTCAGTGGTAAACTGTATTCATGTTAGTTCTAATATCATTCTCCACAACTTCCAAAGAGAATACGACTCCAACCATTTTCAACAATATTACATTCTTAATTTCCCAATACCACAAAACAGAAGAATGCATAATCAAGTAGACAACATGTTATACAATAGAGTTTTTAAAAAACTACATCATAGCAGGCAGGTGGTGGTACACCCCTTTAATCTCAGGAGGCAGAGGCAGGTGGGTCTCTGAGTTTGAGACTTTGAGATCAGCCTGGTCTACAGAGTGAGATCTAAGGTAGGCTCCAAAGCTACACGGGGAAACCCTGTCTCAAAAACACAACAGAACAACAACAAAAAGCCTGTATTATTGTATATGTGCAGGAGTATGATGTATGTAGGTGCATCTGTAATAGCACACAGGTAGAAGTCTGAGAACAACTTTATGGAGTCATTTAAGTACCTTTACCCATGAACCATCTCTCCAGTCTCAATATTTGTATTTATTCCTCCAATCTAACAAATTTTGGCCAGGGGCTAGAGAGATGGCTCAGTGGTTAGGACCCAGGTTCAATTCCCAGCACCCATACAGAAGCTTACAAACATCTGTAATTCCAGCTCCAACACCCTCTCCTTGCCTCCATGGACACTTGAACATACACTCATACACATAAGCTAAAAATAAATGTTATAAGATCTTAAACAAAAAACTCTGGCCAATTTCTTTGCACCCCCATTCTACTCTATGTAAATGAGTTGAGTCTGAGTTTTAGGTTCCATATGCAAATGAGTTCATATCATGGTCTGTCTGCATCTAGATAGACTAACAGTAAGTCCTCCAGATTCATATACATTATTATAAATAAAAGTATTGGTTTTCTTTTTAAGGCTGAATAGTATTTTTTTTTTTAAAATAAGGTTTTTACTATGAAACCAATGTGACTTCAAACTTGTGATCCTCCTGCCTGAACTTCCAAAGTGTTGAGATTCCAGGTATGTGGCATCATGAACAACTTTTAATTCACTGGCTTTTAAATTTCAACCAATCTCAAGTCTCTGGGAATACTGTCTTACTAGAGTAGTCTTTCCATTCCCACTCTCCTTTTCTACTTCTTTCATGTACCTTTAGGTTTCACTTAACTGCTGCCTTGGCTAACTCCTCCCTCTTTCTGTTTATTTATTGTTAAGTACTATGGAAAACCTAAAGTTGCTTTTATAAGTGTAGTGAGATAGTCCTTCTGTGGCACTGACCACGCCCACTGGGGGGTGGAGCCATGGGCGGAAGTGACCTGTGGAAGGAGGTCGGAGGGGGCCAGGAAAGGCTCTCTCTTTCTGGCGTGACTCGGACAGGAGAGGATCGGGTTGAATTTCCTGGTGTTCATCTGTCTAGGTTGTAAGTTATTTCTCCCTGAATAAACATCTATTCAGCCTATTTGTTTATCCTGATCCTTATTTACCGCAGTAAGTATTGATGGGAGATGTCATTCTGTAAACATGTTTCTCTTATTGGTTAATGAATAAACCACTGTTGGCCAATATGAAAGCAAGGTAGGCGGGACTAGGAGACAAGGAGGATTCCTGAAGGAGTAGGGAGGAGATTCAAGATGGAGGACAGGGAGAGCAGAATGCCGGCCCCTCTCTCCCGTAAGATGAGACCACGTGAAAGTACTTAGATTAATAGAAATAGGTTAATATATAAGACAGAGCTAGCTGATGAGAAACTAGTACTGGCCAACAGCATGATATCAAATACTGCACTTCTGTGTAATATTTGGGGCTGATGCAGCGGTGGGTCCAGGCTAGCGGAAAAACTACTCATAACAAAGTATAGTTCAAGTTTTCCTGTGGTTATATAGTGTCTCTTAATCTAATAAACAGGAAGGAATCTGATCTCTAGTTTGCACACTGAAGTCCATGGGAACTGCTCAGTAAATATCTGTAAATATAGCTGGCTTAGCAGTTAAAGAGTCCTTGTTGCTCCTGTGGGGGACGCTGATCTAATTCCCAGCACCCACATGGCAGCTCACAACTATCTATTAACTCCAGGTCCAAGGAACCCAATGCCCTCGTCTGGCCTCTGTGGACATTAGGCACTTACATGGTACATAGATAATATTTACAAAATACTTACAAAACTTTTTGTGTGTATAAAAATTAAGTAAACTATACATAGTTAAGTTCTCAGAGGAAGAATAGTATTTGTAACTGACTACATGAACGATACCTTCCCCCACCCACCCACAACCTCTTGTAGCCCAGCCTGTCCTTGGACTCTATATCCTCCTGTCCTCTACCTCCCAACTTCCAGGACTGCAGGTGTGTACCACCATGCTTGTCAGGTGGCACACATTTTTAGCATAACTGAAATGATATTTTTCAACATAACATGGAACTGGCAATATTTTTTTCCCTTCTTTTGAGACAGTTTCTGGCTGGCATGGAGCTCATCTAAGTAGACCAGACTGACCTTGAACTTACAGATACCCAACTGCCTCTGCCAGAATTAAAGGCACACACCGCCATGCCAAGTCAATGTTTTCTTTCTTGATTGCATTTCAGATACAAAGCAACCATCTCATTCTGATACTGCAACCATAAGAACACATATGTAAAAGTACAAATTAGAGTTTTAACAATTGTAGCCAAAATAAAAAAAAAAAAAAAATCACTAAGCAAATAGCAAAGCTAGATAAGAAAACCAAAGTATTTCAGTAAGACTGCCTTTGAAATAAAGGAATACAAACATTTACAAGAATAGAAACTGCCAAGAACTGCTACTTTCTCTGCCAATTCCTTAAGTTCATAAACCGTGGTGGCTGTACCAAGGCAAGTTTGACTCCCATGACGCAGGATCTGTTAGGATCCAAAATTCTCTTTATTGTCTATTATTGGTTATTTCTGCTCTCCAAAATGCGTATGTCACAAAGCCAGGCAAATGAGACAAGTCTATGCTAACAGATAGATATCAATGTCAAAAGTATCACTATTAAACTCCGGTCCTGCCATTCAAGTTACTATAATCCCTTCCAATAGTTCAATCTTATTTTCAAAAGCAACTACATAGGAAACTACAAATTTAAAATACAGGCAGTGGTGGTGCAAGCCTTTAATCCTAGCACTTCAGAGACAGAGACAGGTAGATCTCTGTGAGCTTGAGGTCAGCCTGGTTTACAGAGTGAGTTCCAGGGCAGCCATGACTATTTCACAGAAAAACCCTCTCTCAAACAAAAAAGCACAAAGGGGCTGGAGAGATGGCTCAGTGGTTAGGAGCGCTGGCTACTCTTCCAGAGGATCAATTCCCAGCAACCACATGGTGGCTCACAGCCATCTGTAATGAGATCTGGTGCCCTCTTCTGGCCTGCAGTCACACACAGGCAGAACACTGTATACATAATAAATCTTAAAAGACAAAAGCAAAAAAACAAAACAAAAAACCCCCTAAAGCAAAAACTAACCACCAAACCCCAACTTACAAATAGGGAAGGGCAGTGTAACTAATGCTACTATTATTTTGATGTCTTTTCTTCCTTCCCTCCCTTCCTCCCTCCTTAATTGTTCATTCGCATTTCAAGACAGGTTTTGTCTTTGTGACAGCCCTGGCTGTCTGTCATTCAGACTAGGCTGGCCTCAACTTACAGTGAGCTCCAGGCTAGCCAAAGTGACACAGGGAGACCTTGTCTCAAAAAGTGAATGAAAATAAACCACAAAGGTTCTCTGCTGGGAGGAAGCCTTATATTTATAGTAAGAAATCAAATGCCATTGCGTTTCTTTATTTTTTCTTTTCTAGAAATGTGAGAAAATTTCTGTTCTTGAAAACTAGTGTCAGGTATTTTGTTATAGCCACAGACACAGACTGACATTCTTTTATTCATCTTCCCAGCTCCCATTTTACCTCTTCTGAGGATCCTAAT